CTTCACTGTCAGGGCAGCTAGGATCTGGAACCAACTTCCAAGCAAAGTGGTGCTGGCTCCTACCCTGGAGGTCTTTAAGACAAGGCTAAACAATCATCTTGCTGGGGTCGTTTGACCCCAGTACTCTTTCCTTTCATGGCAGGGGCCCGGACTTGATGATCTGCTCAGGTCCCTTCTGACCCTACTAACTATGAAACTATGAAGATAGCAGTTTCTGAATTACATACAGCATAAGCACAGCTAAGAGGCATCTCAAGATTAAATGCAATGTCTAAAAGTTGGATTTTACAATTTCTTCTATTCAGGTTGAGCAGTAAACTTGCAATAATACATTAAAATGTCTCAGAAATCCAGTATATCTTGGAATGATGTAATGAGCAAACTGGAGAACAAGACAATACGTTCCTTTAACAAAGTCCATATAAAACAATGGTCAAGGCTTGCTATTATGAATATGGGGGGCGGGGTGGCAGGGGCACTACATAAACTTCCCCAGGCCAGACTGGCCCACAGAGTAGGATAAACAGTGGGATAAATTAGAGCACAACACTAGCTTGGGGTTTTGCAAGTGCTGACATAACCACTGCACTAAGAGTGAAAAGTTAACAAAGTTATTCTCCAAAGAAAAGTCTGTTTCTTATGCTAAACCAATGCTGGTGCTGCATGTTGACAATTTTTCTAGTTTACTAGCTCTCAGGGACAGGTTTGCACAGCACCTAGCTCAGTGGATCCTCCTTCCCACTCTGATTAAATCACACAAGTGCTACCATGAGACAAATAATTAACAGGTCATAGGAACAGAAGAACCTGTGTTCCCCATTATTAAATGCACAATAACCTAAGCTAGCAGCACATATGGAGTTGTTTTCTACTGATCTTTGTCTCCTTTTTCACCTCTCTTCCCCGCTGTACCCTGTTCTGTTTCAAGTGAAATGCAATCCAGTAATGTTTGAGTGAAGGGACTATCGAGAGGACAGAAAAAATGTCATAATATTTGAAATATATGTCCTAAATAACTGAATTATTTCTTAGGAACTTGTAACATCCTTTAAAAACAGTGTAGACCTGATTGGAACCCCTTAAGCCTAAGGTACAATAGAAATACTGCATTTGATTCCAAGATGAGGTGTTTTTCCCTTTTCAACATGGGGAAAACAAAGGCTTGTCTCAGACTCAAGTATCACTGCCGAGAGCTGGGAGAAGCGCCCGTGCAGGGAGTACAGCTGGGGCAGGGACAGCACTGGCAACATGCATATTCCCATTTCCAGCATCTCTCCCTGCCTGACTTCCTTATGCCCTTCCCTTTGTCTCCCTTGTTGGCAGGAATCTAGGCAGGACAGAAGGAAATCCCATGCTGCTGTGTCTCCAGCCAGCTGGGTGACCTGCAAAGCAGTTCCTCCCAGCTTCCAGCTGGAGCAGTGTGATTCAGCTGTAGCAAGCATCGGGAAGCTCCAGAGTCACTCCTGCTGCTGCAGAAAGCAGCTCTTCAGGAAGCCCAGCTATACAACATGCAGATTCCTCCTTGGAGCCTGCTCCCACCCAAGGGGGTGCATGGGTGAGGTGGAAGGGAAGCCAAGCAGGGAAGGAGGAATCTGTCCACTGCAGATCCAGACTCCCTGCATAGCTGCTCTCTCCAGTGTGGGGTAGGACCAGCTCTGGGACTCACCCTGAGCCCTGATCAGTAGGTAAAGCAGCTGAGGGGGAAGGTGGGCATGGAGGCAAGGAATAGGGAAGTGGTGGAGGGGGAAGCACCACGGGGACAAACGGTGGCGAACAGGCTGCCTGCCCTTGCTTGCTCCCACCACTTCTTCCCCCTCACCCCACCTGCCTCCATCCCTGCTTTCCCCCGCCTCTGTTTTCTCCCTGCGTGCCTCTTTGACTGCTTTCCCCACTCCTTCCCCTGCAAAAGCAGACAGACAAACTTAAGATGACCCTCCAATCACTAGATTCTGGACATGGAAAATTATAATAAATTTATAATTTTACATGTCTAGAATCTAATTATTGGGGTCATCTTAAATTCAAAGTAATCTTGGATTTAGCTACATGCAGTAGTTGTCTGGATTTTATTTAAATAAATATCTAAGTCCTATAATGAGGAGTACATCTAACAGCAAAAGGACCCCAAAGCCATACAGTAAGTAACAAAGTTACTTGACTCACCTATCTGAAGTCCTCAGACGACCTGCCATACGCAAAGGTATTTCCTGAAAAAGGAGAATTTGAGAATACATTTAATACAATCATCTAATAAAAACTGAAGGGATAATTTAAAATGTACTTTAAGAGAAAGTCACCCAGACACCCATGACAACATATGTGTGAAGAACTAATTTAAATCATACAGATGATGTTTATTTTCCACTGGACTACTAGCCACAGAAGTGATACAGAGGTAATGTACAGGATATTCCATGATACTTGATCAGCACTGAATGCATAGCTTAGTTTCAGACATTCATGTAACAAGAATCTTCTTCACTCACTTGTCTGAGCCCCACCCCCTGCAAAATGAAAGAATTCCATTCTACTCTGTAGTTAATGTAAATACTATACTAAATATAAGATGAGGAGAAAAGAAGGAAGCTGTAGTATTCACCTTCAGGTGAAACAAAATAAATCTAGTGAATCTCCGGAGGAAAGTTAAGATCCAAAAAGAACAGACAATAACCTTGAAATACTGGGTAGCATCAGCTCTTCTCAATAAGACAAAACTATCCTTTTAGCCTGGATGGGCTTTTAACAATCAATTCATTTATGTAGTCACTGTCTACCTGTGGCCTTCATTGGGAAAAAACATTTAGATATGTACCAAGGATAAACATAGGCTTAATTTTTGGCAAAACCAGAGATCAAATAGCCACATGGATAACGCTATTTAAGTTTCCAGGGTCAGTTCCACTGTCCCATAGGAATTTTTTTAAAAGTTTTAACACTGAATCAGAATGAAGTAAAAAAAAAAAATCTCAAAAATATTTTTAAAAATATTCTTACTTCAACTACAATTTCAAAATGCAAAAGCATTTGGAATAACTTTTTTTTAAATTTTAAAAATATTAAGATGGTTGGAAACGCATTTCAAAATGGTCATTGTGTTTAGATTGGCAGAATTCACTAAAATGTTTCCTTTCTAACAAAGTTATTTCTGTTTTGACAACTGTTTTCTAACCAGAGGTGGAAGATTGCTGCCCAGCTTTATTACCAATCTCTTCTCTCATCTTCATAATATGTGTGAGGGGCTGGCTGGCAGTGACTTAGCCCAGGAGTTTTGAAAGGGCAAAAGATGATCGGAGGACTTGGGATTCCCTTTCCTCGCCAATCTGGTAATGATTTGGCCCAGGGGTTTTGAAGGGGTAAAAAATGATTGGAGGACTTGGGATTCCCTTTCCTCACCAATCAGGCCCCAGAGACTCACCCTCCATGCCCTCCGATTGGCCCCCTGGGTCACCTGGAGGGGGATAAAAGGGGCAGTGTGGCTGACTCAAGGGGGACCAGCGAGGGACCACAAGGAAGGAGATTCAAAGAGCTGGCAAAGAGCTGGGAGTGGGACCTGCAGGCAGCAGCTGGACCCTCAGCAGTGCGGCATGTGGCTGGCAGGAGAGGCTCCCTGGAGCTCAGGCTCCAGGATCCCCTACAAGAGGCTGCAGCCAGCAGGAGAGGCTCCCCAGCTCCAGCAAGGATCTGAGCAGTGACCTGACAGGTTCCCAGCTCTGCTTCCAGCTCCTCCAATCAGAGGCCAGGCAGCTTGACGTGAGGCCAGGGCGCCTGATAGGTCAAGACCCCTAGCAGCTTGGCACAACACCAGCACCAGTGGCTGTGTGGGAGAGCTTCTGCCTACCACGTGGGAGATCTGAGATCGAAGTCCCAGCTGTGGTGACTTGGGGCGAGTGAGCTAACAGCGGGAAATTCTTCTTGCAGTGGAAAGGGGCCATTGTGTTTTCCTCCTTTCTCCCCCTCCAGGTACCTAGGCCCTATATTCCTTGTCATTTGACATTTTGTATTTTATGCCTCAGGGCATTGTAGTGTCCCCTATACCCCCTGATGTATACTGGTTATGCTCCCAGTACAGTTCTCTCATTAAAAGGTATATGGTTAAGTTCCCATTGGTGGTCTGGCTCTGCTCTATAGGGGGAGGAGAGTCCCTACACCTCCCACAGTGCTTGTGCACCTGCTTTGATCCCTTCAATTGGAGAGGGGATACCTCTTGGAGTACCACCTGGGTTACACATGCAACAATTGAGATCATCAGAGGAATCAGAATTGGAGCCAAAGTAGAAAAAAGAGCAGGATAGCATTTTCCTCTAATAATTCACTCCCCTCTCTTGGGCTGATAATACAGTTTTGATAACATTTAGGGCACACAGCTAGGTCCAGCTATTCCCTCTGGCTTTTAGGAAATGGGAATCCATTCTTTAAACTGTCACAACTTTTGTGTTTTTGGAGCAATTGGATGGGCTGGTTTGTTTGGTTTTAAATGAGTGTCCAGGGTTCTCAGAGGCTGGGATGGATGCTTTTTTATACAGACTGGGTGGAGGGTGCCAAGGATACAAAAATATCTGAGACAAGCAGAACTTAAGGTTTTTGCAACTGGTTTACTAGTAGCAACAGGCCTTGCTCTGCTGGGCATTAGTCATTTTTTTTGCTGTTTTGCTAAGGATGTTGACTGCAAGTTTCCCTCTAAGGTGTGCGTGTGCACAGCTGTGCACAACTAAAAGTGTGGCCACGCACAGCCTTTTCAAGGCCACGCATCAGGAGAGGTGGGGGTGGGAGCTTCTCATGGGCTCCGCCAGCTCCGGGGAAGTGCTCCACTTCCCTACATCAGGGCTGGAGAGTGGAGCACTTCCCCGGCACACTGCGGGAAATGCCCCGAGGAGATGTGGGGGAGTGGAGTAGTGTCCTGGAGCCGGCGGAGCCTCGCTCGGGGCAGGCAGCAGCTCCTCCCCAAGGTGAGGCAAGGCAGGTATGGAAGCTAGGGCAGGGGGCTCCACTGGCTCTGGGGAAGTGCTCCACTCCCCAGCCCTGATGCAGGGAAGCAGAGCAGTTCCCCGGAGCTGGTGGAGCCCGTGCCAACCTCCGACCCCCGCCTCTCGGCCCCTGGCTCTGGCCCCTCGGCTCCCGGCCCGCCGCCCCTCGGCTCCTGGCCCCCTTTGATAATTGTCCTATGCCGGACCGAGGCGGCGTGCTCACGGACTGAGGCAGCGCGCTCATGGACCACTACTCCTTAGAGGGAACACTGGCTGATTGTGCACAGACAGGCATCTGTTTGGCATTCTGTACAAATCTAAATACCTAAAATGGCAACACATCCAGTGAAGAGACCAATCACAAGTCTTAAATTCTCCACAACAGATAGGGAGGAACAGCACAAAACCTGGAGTGCAACTCCAGCCCTCACCTTTCTTCGCCTCCCTTGCGTAGCTGAAGATTCACTGCTCACACTTTCTCTGTGGTTCAGGTGGGCAAAGGGTCTAGCCGCTCCCCAAGACTCCAGATAACGTGTCATTCGGACAGAGGCTCGCATCTTCAGCCCATCGTTCACCCTTGCTTTAGGAAGATGATTGTTTGAAGTGCTTTGTTTGGACTAAAAGGACACAATGCCCAAGTTAAAATATCAGAAAAATCAGCTGAGCCCAGAAGCTTGTACCATATGAACCTTAGAGCAAGTATGTCCTCCCAGGATATGCCTCCTTCCCTCCCCCTCCACCAAGTATATAGACAGGGTGACACCCTTGATTCCCCATCTGTTGAGCTGTCCTCAAAATCTCCCTGCCTGCAAAACTGAGCTCTGATTCCAACTTCTGGCTTCCTGACCAATCACAGACCATAGAGCTTTACAGGCAACTGAAGGGATTCACTCCACTTGAGAAGAGGCAGAAGGTGGGCAAGACCAAAAGCTTCTGCCATACATCTTTGGTACATGATTCAAGGGGAATAACACAGTGACTAGGAGGGCAAAGGAGACAGTTCTGCAAAATGCAGATTCAGCTCCAGATTACAATGGGGATTATATCCCCTGTGCAACAGTTTTGGGTCAAAGGCCACAAAACTTCCTTCCACAGGACCAAAAGCAGGCAGGGCAAAAAGACTAATGGCTATAATACGAGCATCAATCACTAGTTAGATACTGCATCGATCAGTAGTTACATCCTAGCATCTAAAGCACCATCAGGTGTACAAGAGCCATTTCAAGAGGTCTACTGAGTTACCATGACAAACATTCAAATAGCATATGTGCAATAAACCCTGTGTACAGTCCAGTAAATTATTAAAGCAGATCCAAGTCAGGAAGCCATAAATTCTGACGGGGGGGGGGGGGGGGGGGGGGGGGGGGGGGGGGGGGGGGGGGGGGGGGGGGGGGGGGGGGGGGGGGGGGGGGGGGGGGGGGGGGGGGGGGGGGGGGGGGGGGGGGAAGAATGGCTGCACTAATCATTAATTGAAGGTAGCTCTCCTGCGTTTCTTCCTAAGCAACTCCTAAGAAAGACGATGCAAGAGCTATTTTTTTCCTCCCGTGTTTTTTCCATGTTGATAAAACACTGCAAGAGGGCCGGGCCCCCAGGGGTGGTGACCATATGGTTCCTTCCCGGCTCCATCTCTAAGATGCCCTCCCTTGGTTCCTTGTCTTCCATACTTTGTTTTTATTAAGATATTAAGGAAGGGCTACTAAGACCCATGGTCTTGGAGCAAACTCTTGTCACTTCCAGCCAGTAGCAGGTCCCTCCCGGACCCTGCTGGCCTCAGTTTGCACCCTAAGTCGAGCAGGACCTCTTGGCCCATCTATGCCCCCAAGGCACCTATAGCTTTCAGGGCTAATTACATGGGCTCTGCCCTCCCCAATACCCACACCCATGCCTCACAGATGTTATTAATCACCAGCCCTTCTGGGCCACAGCCTCAGCCCCTATGACTAGGCCTCCCTGTCCAGGCACTTCATTCACCGCGGCTACTCCCCAATTTGTTTTCTAGGCTTACCTGCTTCTCTTGGGAACTTCACTGCCCTAAGCTATTCCCAGGCACAGCCTTCCTGCATGTAGCACTTTTCCTACACAAGCTGGTCCCAGGCATTATTTCCCACCCTAGCAGGCTCCTGCCTCTGCATCTGCCCCTCTCTGTGCTTCGGGCCCTTGGCCCCAGTCTCTGGGACACTATGCTCCGATCCCCAGGCTGCTGTACCCTGTCTCTGCCCTCTCCAGGCTGTGGGCCCCTGGCCCTGATCTCTGGGCTGCTTTCCCCCATCCCAGGGCTCCTGTGCCCAGCCTCTACCCTTGTCTGAGCTACAGGTTCACCCACCCCTACCATTTCCAAGGCCTGCCTCCCCAGACTGTGGGCTCACCCATCCCTGTTCCCAGGCCTGCCTTATTCCTAGACTCCATGTTGCTTGCTCCAGCTCACCTGTTCTCAAGAGCCCTGGCTGCAGCCTTGCTGCCAGGAGTTGCTCTCCATGTGGCACTAAGGGCTAGGCTGCCTGACCAGCTCCATCCCTGGGCTTATATGGCTCCTTCCAGTCACAGGACTCCCTAACCAGCCTCCTGTCACACCTGTAGGCTGCTTCGCAGGCTGCCACACTCTCTTGAAGTGATAGGCACACCAAGCACCCTGTCACATACACCAATTCAAAATTGTCAATATTCCAGGGCAGCCAACAGTTGCCTAGTTGTACTTAGGCAGCTAGGAGTTACAATATCACCTACCTTCCAAAAAGGGTGACACTGCCATGTAAGTCACTGAAGGAGAATGAAGCACTGAGACAGCATTTTCTCAAAGCTACCAGACTACATTCATTGGGGATCTTGGCTAAGATCCTCCACCATCCCACAATTAGTATCAAATGCAGCACAGAAGCAGCCACCTGAACTCTATTAACCATTGGACCATATTAAGAGCTGGATTTGTACCTAACATGTGCATGGGTGTTGGGCCTGCTCACTTAGCTGATCTTTGATCAATAGCTTATCACAGCTTGCGTGTGGCCTCTGCAAAGCGGAACTGCAGGAGCAATACAGCATGTTTCCCAGCCTGGAATGTGGCTGCCCAGGGGAAGTAACACAACCAGTTAAGGGCAAGGATAAGGTAAAAAATGACAAAGTTGTGTGACCTCTGAGACGCACTTCCCTATGCATCTGAAAATAATCTGTGATCACAGGCACCTGCTTGGAAGCTACCCAAATCCGTTCCCTGCTCCTGTAGTTTTTGATGCAGCTGGCCACAGAGGAAAACCCTAAGCACCCAACTGCAGATTCATGCAGCTGTTGCACTTGCCAGCACAATTTTGGCACACCTGAAGTGCACAGGTCAGACGTACCAGCTAGTGACCACACCTCAGTTGTGTGTGGATGTCACTGAGCTCAAAGAAATGGCAGGGAGGAGGAATTAAAAACAAGTAACAGCAAAAGAAAAAAAGCTAAGCTGATGGTGGTTTTGCCATGTTTTAGACAGATGCTCTTTTACTGTCTGTACGTTCTGGTGTGGCTATTAAATTTTCTTAATTCTGACTTTTAATGGGAATTTAAAAGAATTAGTCAAACTCAGGACTGACCAGGGTATCTAATTTATGTTCTGGGAACCCAATGAAAGGCAGAAATTATTAGGTACTACAGACCTTCCTCCTGTGTTATGGTAATAAATGAATCACAGTGGATTATGTGAACTGGTGAGGAAAGGCTCATGGTTGGGACTTGGGAGTTAATTCACACATCAGTCGCACTAAGCCTATTTTCCACCTCCTACATGAGATGATGGGGAAAGGCTACGAGTGGGTGAGTGGTTGGGTGTGCAATCTCAGTATTCAAGTAGAACCTGGGTGTGAGTATCCCTTTCAGGAAGAAGTGGTTCTAAGTGAAAAGTCAGCATTCGGCTATACACTACTGAGGCAAATACAGCAGGCACAGGTAGCTTTCAAAAGAGGTTTTCCTACAGGCAGTGGACACTCACATTGTTATGTTTGAGGATTTTCAGATAGTGTTTAGAGAACAATGTACAGAAGAGATGTTATTTGGAATTCAGGACTGGTATATTAGTTTTATTCAAAACTTGTTGGCACAAACTGATTTATGAGCAAAACAAAAAAAATAATTAAAAATGAGTGTTTCTTTGTCTCCCTCTAGTGCAGGGGTGGGCAATTATTTCAGCTGGAAGGCCACTTAGGGAGTTTTGGTGAACTGTTATGGGCTGGGTCAGCACCCCTCACCCCCTCTACAACAGCTCACCAAAACTACCTACACGGTAGGTGGCAATAGAGAGCAGGCAGGCAGGGCACATTTGGCCAGGCGAGTGGGGAGTGGCATCCAGGAGTGGGGCAGGTAGGCAGGAGCTAGGATTATGGGGCACAGACAGTAGGAGCATGGGCATGAACCCCCCTCTTGTCAGCACGGAGGCGGAAAAGGATCTTGGAGTCATCACTGACTCCAAGATGAACATGGGTCGGCAGTGTGGGGAGGCAGTTAGGAAGGCCAACCGTACCTTGTCATGCATCCACAGATGCAT